CCTAGTTTCAGCTTGTGTTGCAAGGTCTAGAGCGTGTCTCGGTGAGGTAATGATTCACTCTTCAGTGCTCTAGTTTGCTCTACTAACCAGCCTCCAGGGACGGAATGTCAGTGCCACATTCTGCTGTATGAATGTCGAGGTAGAGGCTAGGACAGGCTGGGGGCCAGCCAGTGACCCCAAGAACTTAGGTTCTTATTTTCCTCTTGTGACCCAAAGTCAAGCCCAAGTTTCCAGGTGCCACAGGGGCCGTGTGTCTATTGCTGCCTTAGCTTGGGCCAAAGTGAAAAACTTTAATTATTAAGTTTCTCAAGGAATCCTCCTAGGTCTCTGCAACTGGACCGTGGAGGAAGTTAGGAGGCATGAACAGCTTTGAGGTGGCACCCGGAACTCTACTTGGGAGCAAACATAGCAGCCTCAAGAAAACCTGGAGTTGCTCTTTACCACTATTGAGAAATCTCAACAACCACATAGTACTTAACACATGCGTGCTATCTTCTTTCTGAAGACAAAAAAAATAGTAATTTTATCTGGAATCACTATGAAAGACAGAAATAGCCTTTCCATGTGACCCAAAGATTATACAACCTACCTTCACCTCCCTGGCACATTGTCTGTACTTCACAAAAGACTTAGTACATGAGTGTTTTTCCTTTATTGCTTCCATGATCAGAGTATTAAAAGCAGTAGCTCATGCACTAAGTATTGAGTATTGTTGTAAAACTTCATTTTGTTCCAAGGAAACCCCAAATAAAACGACGCACTTTCCAAAAAATAAAAGCTCGTCATTTCAGAGGATTGGTTTTCTGAAACACACTGTCCATACCTCTGTGATTAATTATTCTACTAAATTGGCATGAAGTGTCTTCGTGCAAATGAAACTCTTTCTTAAAGGAGAAATGTCTAGATTAGCTCTATCTCTCCACTAGGTTCGGAGCATCTTAAGTTCCCAGTAAACACCAATGGCCTGACTGAACCTATAATGTAAAAACATAGCTCTTGGGCTGTAGCTGCGGATCACGTGAAGTGATATTTAGTCTGAAACTGGTGGGTCTTAAAGTTTGAGGAGCTCATGGCTTTCAGTTGGGGGTCACACAGAAAATGACAGGGAACAGGAAAAGACCCACCAAGTCTCAGGGCTTGCAAGGGAGCAGAGTCACTTACTAGGACTAACAGCAACCACGCAAAAAGGGACATCGACTTAGGAGGCCTGATCATCTTGGTCACAGACCTTGTCTGAATCTAAATCTGGACAATGCCAGCAGCTTCTAGGCATTACAGCGTTGTCATCACCAAAGTCATGTGTGCGAGACAGGTGTCTCTCATTCCATTCCTCAGTGCCCCAGAGGACTAAGCATTTCTCACCAAAGGCATAAACAAGCTCCTTCACAGTCAGACTGAGGAGCCTCCGGGCGGCCACTTACCTGCTGGTTCTGATAGGCTGTGACAGTGGTGAACACAGTCTCCGGAAAGTTGAAGGTCTTCACCCCGTCCCCCACAGGGACAGGTTTGGTGGGCGAAAGGTCGCTGCTGAAATCCTTGCGAATCACGTGCACGCGAGGCTGGTATTTGTGCATAGAGTGCAGGATGATCTGTAATGAGAAGGGGACACCATGCCGGCGGGCTCGCCGCTCCGGGCAGGTTCTGGAGCATCCATTACCTGCCAAAGCAGGAGGAGAGCGCGGATGGCTGGAGGAGGAGCAGAAGCTGGCAAGCAGCGTCTCTGCTGCGTGATCACACCGTGTGTTACGTGAAGCACGCGGCAGAGTGTCCCAGCCATGAGGGGGAGGTGGTTTGTCCTTACTGGGTCAGGATGCAGTACTGTTTGGGCACTGTAGACAACTTTCCACTACAATGTCTCAATCTCACACAGCTGTCAGCTGCCTCCTCTACGAGTTCTCAGCATGAGCTCAGTGTGGCTAAGCCTGGCAAGCCAGTGTTGGTTACTGATCGAACAGGCTTCCTCTCCACCACTATGCTACCTGTGCGTCCTCCCAGCCTCAAAACTCCGCTTCCTTAAAAGTAGGAACCAGCCCTCCCTGTGGCGCAACAGGTTAGAGTGCAGCACTGCAAGCTGGCTGCAGCCTCTTCAGTGCGAGTTTGATTCCCACCCCAGAGGTGACCACATGGCGCGGCAGACCGCTCCTGACCCGCCCGCTGCTCCCCTCAGCAGTGTGCTTTGTGAGTCTGCCTGCCTGTTCTGCTCCCCACTCTGTCTCTGATGAATCCTCTCATCATCCCTACACCTCTGGCCTGCATTCCAGTTCTGTGTGCACAAATAAAAAAAAAATGGAACCACGGCTTTGGCAATGTCAGTTTTCCTCGGATATTGGTGAAAATGCAGTCTCGGATTTACTGCCGAGATAACGCCATCACTTCAGGTCCCAGTTACAGGTGGAGACCTCTCCCTCTCCTATAAATGAGTTATTTTTTTTTGGACAGATTAGTCAGAATTGTCGCTTTTTGTTGGTCTCTGAGTATATTGCCCTCTGTGTTATTCTGCTGAAAGTTGAGGGTGTTTTTTTCGCTTTCACTCAACTTTCTGTGTTTCTCTTTCCTCCTTGACTGCACTGTGCGTCTCTGAAGCACACTCTGATAAACAGCCTGATGGCGGCAGATACTCGCTGAGTGTCAGGTTTGTAATAAATGGAAAATCACAGGGCGGGAAAGTCAACATCGATGCTTATGACTTTAAAGAAGCCAAGTCAGAGATGCTTGCTTTACCCACTTGAAAAGTTTGCGGCTACCCAGCTTTAGGGCAAAAAGAGAGCAGAAAAGGAGTTTGGGGACTCACATGCCCTTGATCATCCAGTTCATTGTTGGTCAGCTTGAGTTTGTCGAAACTGACCACCTGTCTCATCCAAGTGTCTCCAGAAGCTAGAGAATCGGGGTGTATGTAGACTCTTGGGGGCACCGGGGAGTCGGCGTTGCCGGCCACCATCCACTTGGAGCTGTGATACACATATCTGAGACAGAGGGAGACGAACATTCAGAGACAGATGCAGGGGAGGAGCGGAGGTCGGGGCACACCGGAGGAGGGAGTGAGCAGAGATGCAGAGATGACAAAAACGGAGTGGCATGAGGGTTGAACAGAATCCAAAGGGGGACGAGTAAAAGGAACGAGATGCAGTGGGGGAGGGCAGAAAAATGTGTGGGCAATGATCAAAGCTGAAGCTCTCACAGGAAAACATTCTCACACCCTCTTCTTCCGCCCCCTCTGCTGCACCCCCACCAGCGTGCACGCAGCGTCCTGAGCCCACGTGCTAGCTGTGGAAAAGGTATTTTACTGCAACCTTTCACCTTTCAAATGCGAACCATATAGTCCACTGACCACTTGTTCAGGACTCGGTCCTTTATTAAAAACATCTTCCGTATTGTCCTATAAAACACAGCCATGTGCGGAGGCCTTCCAGGCCTCTCGCTTGTTAACCATTTCCCTGCTGAGAACCTGAATTTGAGGCAGTTGCCTCCAGCAGCCAGAGTCATTTCTACAGAGACAGCGCTTTGCCTCGGTGCAACCAGAGGCCCCGCCAACGCTGCCCAGTTAGCGTGGTCTTTGACGAACCTACTTTTGCAAGGGAGCATCTTCTACGCCACCTTCCCACGGAGCTGCTGCTGTGGACGGCAGCTGAGGTCAGTTTCCAAACTATGTCCACCGCCCCGCAGTTTCTCCATGGATTTGATACTCTCCTGTTTTTCAATCCTAACAACTACATGGCACCCGCAGCCCGGCAGAGGCAACACAAATCGCAGCTGCCGAGATCCTCTACGACAGGCCCAGCATGTCTCCTCGCGGAAGGCCGGCTCCAGGCCACCTCTCCCTTGGCCAGCAGCCTCCCCTACCATGCAAGCCCTGGCCTTGCCCTTTCATCTCTCACTTCCAAATCCCTGGGCTTGGGGCCAACTTCTCAGATTTTAGGCATTTCAGAATGAGCCGCGAGTCACTGAATTGATTGAGATCTCTGGAAATCAATGAAGTCATCACTTGTTTCTGTATAATGTATAAAGTCATCTAAGAGACAGAGCGACTCTGTTGGCTTTTAATGATTTTGAAGGAAAGTTGCTTAACTTGCCCATAACCCATATTAATGAGAAATAATTCTCTCTAACTAGATGTTTTTCTTAAGGTCTTACTCAATTCTCCATTTCTTCATCTCCACATCCACAGTTATCCACCCCATAGAAGTCAGGGTGTGCCACGCCAGCCCCCTTTTCCCCTCCCAAAATAAATCCACTCAACTCACTTCTCATGCATAAACCAGGTCACTCAGCAGTGTGCTAATCACTTTCAATGTTAACGGACTTAACCATTGGCTTAAGAACCATGTGATGTTTGCTAGTGGCCAGACCAGACTGTGGCTGAGCCCTATCCCTCCTCTGACGGCTACTGTCTGCCCAGGGCTCTTTCGTCGCCTCTGGTCTAGCTTCGATTCCTTGTTCTCTGCACTGTGCACGTTCAAAATGTATCACCTAGCAAAGCTAAGGAACTGCCCGAAAAGGCTTCTGAGGCCCACAGCTTGACATCCCGGAGTCCCCGTTACCTGTATCTTTTATTGTCCACAGGCACAATGTCCATTGCTATGTAGTACTGCTGGTGCGGGTCCAGGCCGGTGATTTTCACTCTCATGGCAGGAAACATCCTCCTGAGGAGAGGTGGGTGGACCAAACACAGCAGTCAGAGGATGCGGGACAAAAGCTGAGGGGTGCTCTTCTTGTTGGACCTCTGAGCATGCCAGAGTCCAGGAGCCTCCACGTTCAAGGCCGACTGATAGTTTTTATTCACTTTTGTGTATTACTACCTGAAAGGCTTAGATTGCAGAAATAGCACCTCATCTAAACTTAAACTGACTCTGTTTAATTAAACAATTTATTGACTCTGCTTTCTGTAATTAGCTAACCCCTAGAATTACATAGATAGATAAGTTGTGTAACCACACTGTTAGACTATAACATCAAGATTATGCTTATACTCTTACACTTAGTAGACTTGAATACCATAGACTCATCTTATGATCTCAGGAATGTGTCATCGTTTATTCTCAGTAATCAAAATGTTGTATGGATTTTTGAAAATGGCCACTCTGAAAGTTAATTTCTGAAGAATTAAAAAAAAATGATCCTACCAGTACCCAAATAAAGGGCCACCAAAGTTTGTTTGTTTGTTTTTTAATGCATAAAACCGTAGTAAAATTCCTGCAAGTTCTCAGGCTGTCAACATGTGTCAAAAGAAGGACCTGGCAGTATAGGGAGCAAATGCCAAATGAATTCTAGTGGCCTCTGGGCAATACCTTGATTCTACCACAATGGCTTGTTAAACTTGCCAAAGCGAGTGAGGTCAGGATGTGGCACTTCACAGCTAGTCTCATAATTGAAGAGAGGAGACGGAGGAGCCCCAAAGAGGTATTGAGTTTCAGGGAGTCTAGAATAAAGTTCACAAGTCTTTTTTGCCCATAAGAAAGAAGAAAATACATCAAGCTCTTTTGTATGTCATTCATTTAGAAGCCAGACATAAAAAGTGCTCAGTTCAAAATTTGGGATTACCTTAAATGCGCTCTAGGGTACTTGGACGCAAAATGCTGCATTAAGCTTAACCATCTGGGGCCAGTTAGTCGAGCAGGGCAGAGCACAGTGCTAATGAGGTCAAGGTCACAGGCTTGATTCACATATGGCCTAATTGGCTTTGCTCCATTTCATGGCCATAGACCATACTCTGACCCCAGACAGCCATCTTGCAAATGTGCACTAGTTGTTTACATAAAGAGCTTTCTGTGCTGGGCACACACTGCACTACTCATCAAAAGTGACTGAAAAGCAAATGTTCTCTGGTAGTGGTTCAGTCTCAACATCATACTGGGAGGAAAGCCCTTGGGAAGATACCTTTAATGGAGATGATTCATTCTTAAGTGTTTTCAAAAATAATAACCATTCCTTCTTTCCTAATTTGTAACTTTCCAGAAGCTTCTACGGGAATATCATCTTAGATTTTCTCCCTCTGCCCATACAAGTTTAATTAGAAAGTCTTATATTTTAATGTTATGGTGAGCTAATTGATTCTTTTCAAAAACTTCTGAATCTTTGTCTACATGTTTAAATATAGAGCAGCAATTGCTTTCTTAATAACAAAGACTTATAACTGCCTTATAAATGGCTAGAGAGCATCTTGTCATGGACAGATATTCTCTGGGATAAAAAAAAAAACAATAGTCCCCCTCAGCCAGCAGTCGAGGCTGTGCTACATTAAAACAGATAAATTCAAGAAAAGGAATTAGATTTGTTTAATTCCATATTTTTGAATAAAGATAAATACTTCACTTGAGTAAAGTAAAGATAGGTACAGATAGGTATAGATAGGATCTTGAGTAAAGAAGTTACTCGTCTCTTCCTAATACCCAAATTGTAAAATGGATGATTGGTATAACCTGGAATAAGTCACTTTACCCCATCATCTATAAAACAAAGGAAGGTTTCCTCTTGCTTTAAAATGTTTACTTTAGTTGAACCTATTCGTAAGAATGTACTAAACACTGTTCCTTTTTTCTACTTTTTGTCAGTATTTTAGTACAGAATAACAGATAAAGTCATATAATGATAAAGTCATATAATCTTTTATATTGAAAAAATGAGATGCATTTGGTTTTAATTTTATAACTGAATTTAATTCAATTATTTTGTCTTCCAGTCCATTAATTCCTGGAAGCAACTCTGTCCATGGTGCTGATTGTACAGATTCCATCATTGCATTAAAAGATTGAGGGCTGTGTAGACTACAGTGGTTCTGAAACAACAGGACAATGGTCTGGGTGTGAAAAGAAGTAGACAATCCCTGAGATCATCTAAAAGGGTAAAATATCAGAGAGCCATACATAAATAATGTAACTAAGAAAGTTGAAATTGGAATTAAAATGGAAAAGGACATTATGTAAGAAGGAAAATTAGGTGAAAAGGAGACGTCAACTTGGGAAATGCGTAGGAAAGTGAAGAACTTTCACAGAAGTAAAGGTCTTCTCTGTCTGGTCCTGAGTTGCCCCAGAATGACTGGGCAGAATTACATGTAGCAACAGCTATAAATGAAGCTATCAAATACAGACGTGATGAATGCAGTTTCTAAATCTAGACTAAAGGACATGAATAAAGAACAAACTGTATATCTGAGTCAGGACTAGCTGGATATACTCAAGAATCAGAGTGAAATTGCACAGGCAAGAATATGGAAAGAAAACACAGCCAGAGATCCACAGATAGAGTCAGGAAAGCTGTGCAAGTGAACTAAATTCACTTTGAAGTGCAGGAATTGAGGGGGGATTACATGAGGTAATAAGTTATGGTAAATAAATACCGAAAATAAAAATGGGAAAACCTTATTACAAAAAACATAATAATTCCTCTTCTCCAAAACAAACCCCCATGCCAAAAACTAAAGCAATTCTCCTTCAAAGTTTTTCCTCCTGTGACACCTACTAAATCTTTCAAAAGGAAGGAAAGATCAGAAGAAAAAGAAAATGAACAAGATATTCTGTCCATTTTAGCCTCTTGCTTTTGCTATGTTTTATCCTGTTGGGGGAGTGGGCTTCTCTATTTGCATTCAAATAAGCTGGACCTGAACTACATCTTCTTTTACTTACAGTCCATGTTCACTAAACAGCTTACAATCAATGAGGTGGGTCTTTCTGGTAGATATGATACTAGGATGTAATTTGGCTTTGAAAATGTGAAAGTAACATAATTGTCATTTCAGTGAGCTATTCCTATTTAGTCAAAAGTTTAATACAATTATCTCTATTTGCATCACTTTGATTTTGAATCCAAGCGTTCAAAACAACCAGTTCTTAACAGTGCAGTTATAAGTAGTTAAGACCACTGATTAAGAGTCAGACAGACTTCAGTAGAAGTCTAGAGCTGCCTGTACTCCCCACGTGGTTTTAGTCAAAGTTAGTTAACTTCTTTCAGATTTTGTATCCCCATCATATTTAGGGTTATCATATCCTACCTCACAAGATTCCTGTGACGCTTTCACCCCCACCCCTATGCAAGATTGCCATATCCTAACTTCATAGGATTCTCTTCATGTTGAGATGAACCCAAAATGATGATACCCAGCAAGGGAACTGAGAAATACCAAAAAAGGCATATCGTAATTGGTATGAGCACTTAATTTAAAGTGCTTATTTCAAAAGAAACTGTACTTTTGAAACTCATAATCCTACATAAGTAGTTTTGTGAGCATATACCCCCGTCACCATTAACATTTTTCAATAATTTCAGGTCAGCGATAAAATGCAATGGATCAACAAACAGGAGTCAAAAGATGCACCAAATCCCACTCTCACCAAAACCAAAAGTCATTCAAAAACATCCAGCTGCTTTAGACTCCTGAGGAGATACAAGCTGTTGTTTGGAGAGCAAGCATTGTCTCTTGAAAGCATTGCCTGATGAAGGAACTCTTGCTGTCGTGAGCTACCACTTGGTAACTATGGACGATGGGTCCCAGCATTAGCTGAAACACATTTGTAGGTGGAAACTGTGTTTGAAGGCAAAGGGGATTTAAGATTGAGTGGCTCTTGGAAGTAAAAACAGAAATCCCAGTGAACACAAGATCACTTTAGCAAGATCTTCAGATGCAGAAAAGTAAGTGTAAGTTGCTATGGCTTCACCAAAGCTATCTACCACATACGTATCCCAACAAAAAAGGTAGCAGTTCCTACTTTCCTCTTCTGTTCTTTGACTCTGAGCATCCGGAGGCACTGAGCCTTACCTGCCTGCTTTGGTGATGATCATTTCTGTTCCAATGTCATGGAACCTTTTCCAGAGGTCGGCGCACTGCAGTTCCACCTGGATCTCTTCCATGGATGACATGGCGGCCGTCACGGGGCCCGCAGCGCCCGGACCCAGGTCAGCGTGGGTGTCAAAGGAACAGGAGGTCCGCTCAGTGAGCACCTCAGAGTCCGAGCCAGTGCTCTGCTCAGAATCTGCAAAACAAACACAAGACCTCAAGTGAGACTGAGCTCCCTCAGGCCCAGGAGAAGGGGGCAGGTTGGGGGAGGTGAGCAGGGGAAACTTAGGGTTGGGAAGCTCCAGAGCACAGCACTTGGGCGATTTTATTATATTTTTTTATGGTTTGTTTTTGTGATTTATGACCTTCTTTCAGGTTTCAGGTTTCCAACGTGACATCTGGCATTTTAGTAAGTTTTAGTAACAGCTGAAGAAAATTGGCCCACAACAGGCAACATAAAAAGCACCAGTGTCACCACGTTGAAGGGAATGAAGCCGAAGTGGGGCAGAATAAATAAAGTCCAAATTAAAATAATAAGAAGAGCCGTTAGGGACTATTGCCCCAGATCTAGAGTAGACCAGCCCACTGGGTAAGACCAGGCCGACAGCAGCATCCCCTGTGCAATGCCCCACCCACCGCCTACCAGTGGGTTCACTTTAGAGAGCATTTTTTCCTTCATTTATATATCCTGGCCATCAAACGCAACAAAAAGTTGTTCAGAACCTTCAGGAGCACTTGGTTGTATATTTGAATAAATAGCTTTTCCTAAGAGCCCAGCCAGGCCATTTTGAATGAAAAAAAAAATTGTTGTGAAGCATAGATGTCAGCATATGGGAAAAGTTACCCAAGAAGGCGGTTGAAACAAAGAGAGTAAATGAGTTCAGGAGACACCTTGATTGGTTTCTTAAGTATGGGCAGAGGGGAGGGGTGATCCAAACAGGAAGGTAGGATTGAGAGCAACCAAATAAAATGCTGGCATGCTGGGCCAGATGGGGCTTTCCTCCCCAGTCTTCTGTGTTCCTGAAGGGGGGAGGGGGAGGCGTGCAGACTGACAGAGAAGACCGGAGTCAGATTTACCAGAAGAGTTTTCTGCAATGTTTTCACATTTTATACTCTCAGTGGCTGAGCGCCAACAAGTCTCCTATGGTTTTCCAAACTCAGATCGCCAGTACGATTTTCTTAGGTCAAATGTTACTAGATGCCTGAGAACCCAGTTCTTTCACCTACCCTTCACATCTAGAAATTTGAGTGCTTCTCCATAAATAAGTACAGATAATACATGTTTTAAAAAAATTGAAAACAGCCTGTCTTACTCTGATGACTGACTTTTCAAGGGTAGGAAGTCTTGAGCGTGAGTCTCTGACATGATGGAAAAGTGATGGAACAGAAGGGCCAACCATATGCTACCCCTCACGAACACCCTCCCTTCCACAGAGGCCTGTGAGCAACCCACTCCACAGAAGCTTTCGCTTTCATTCCTTCAGTCCCAGTGTGTTCCTCCCTCAAGCCCAGTAGCATTTCTGGAAGCATCTCCCAGAACTTTCTAAAACCCACAGGGAGCAAAGTGCATTTCTCCCCATCCTCCCCAATTCTTCATCCTTCATCCTTCAAGCTAAAGACATACAGGATACGGGGCCTCCCTGGAAGCACAGGGGTTAATTCTCAGCACTATGAGGCTATTGGCAGCTCCTGCAGCATGAGTTCGATCCCCAGCCAGGGAGGTGAACCACAGGGACAGCAGACCTCTCCTGACCTGCCCGCTGCTCCCCTCAGCAGTGGATTTTGGTAGATCTGCCTGTTCTGCTCCCCACTCTGTCTCTGCTGTATCCTCTCACCCTCATGCACCTCTGGCCTGTACCCCAGTTCTTAGATGCATTAATAATTAAGTCTTTAAAAAAAAAGACATTCAGGAATTCAGGATACTGCAGATCTGAACCATACTCCTAATTAACAGGAAAGTCCTTGCCCTAAGCCTCGGTTTACTCACAATCACTGGTCCAGTTACCATCTTCACCAAAATAATTAAGTTTTACATGACTAAGCGTATCATTTTGTACCTTGCTAAACGCGCTCTTCTTCTTCGAGCACAGGAAAGTGGCTATTTAGCCAACAGGAGAGCACTGCTGAGTGACAAACCTCCATGACAGCAGTAGCAGGGCCCTGGTGTCATCACCCATGATTCTGCCTGTGAGACTCGGATGCACAAATCCCATTACGTGATAGGACAAAACCCCCTCTGTAGCACAAATGTCATGAGTTTCAAAAAACTTCTCAAAGCCAGATTTCCAAAAGCAATCCTGCCCTACCTTTAGGAGCAAAGCGCTAGGAAATGCTGACCAGAAAAAAGCTGCAATTCTGAGGAAGTTGGAAACTCGCATGCTCAGGCACGCCCAGGAGATGTGCTGGACAGTTGCTTGCTTCCACACGTGCTTAGGGAAGGGGAGGGGATGTCGTGACGCTAAGTGGTAAACGCTTACTGATAACCAAACTGAGGTTGGAACTGGAATGTGGACTATGGCTGGAGAGCCAAGAAATACAAGATTCTACTTTTCGTTAGCTGCCATCTGGGGTAAAACAGGCACTCCGGACATAACACGAAATGGACAAAAGAACGGCCCTGGGCAAGTCACTCTGCAGAGTTCCGCATCGCACAGCTACTGATGTCTTGAGCAGTCAGAATCCTGCCCCACCCAACTCTCAGTGACAACTCAGGAAGCAGCAACTGGAAGCATCGACTTTAAACTGTTTGGGGTGCACAATGAAAAAGCTAGAGGCCATGAGACAGGGTGGATGAGGAAAAAGCCTGGGGGTCCAGATCCATATCATCACAGAAGTCTGTGGGCCTTCCGTGCATAGCCTCAATCAAATCAGTCACTAAGCACCTGTCAGCATGTGGTCCCATATGAGGTACCATGGAGATAATTTGAAACAGAATCCCAAACCTGGAGAAGCTGCTCTCGGGTAGCATTGATAAATTATGTGTTTATTGAGTAATTACTATGTGCCCAGTACCGTGCCAGGATCTAAGACCCGCCAAGCTCCACAACAGGGTTCCTTTTGGAGGTATTTACAGTCACAGGTAGTCACAGAGCAAGGCAAATACCTCACACAGTTTTGCAGACAATGGCCTGTTGTCTTGTGTGTCCCACAGTAGTCCAGGATGCAGGGAGCTGTGAGGAGCAGAGTTCAGAGTGGACCAGTGTGTGGCACACAGGCAGTCTAGCCCATGAAGAGGGTTTTATTGTTTCTCTGGAAATACTCTGTTCTTTGATTCTCACTTCCTGGTAAAATAGAGTCCAGTGGTTTGTAGACAAATCCAAGTGCCAGCTCACCGACTCCCAGGGTAGCTAGAGCTACCTGTGACAGAAACTACCTACATACACTTCAAATAGCAATCTCACTTAAAATCGACAACCTAGGTAAAAAATGAAATTTGACCCTTTGTAAAACATATTTCTAAATCCTAGTCATATAAAATATTTAGGCTAAACAAATCAAAAATGTCAGCTCTTAACCAGGGCATAGACTCTAGTTACTTAAGTCATGAATGTGACAAATACACAGCAAATTATTTTAACCAAATCAGGTCATCCTTTCAGAAATATAATCAGCCCCTTGAAGCTCAGAAAACACCTCTGTGTTTTCTTTTATTCTTGGTAATTTGTGACTTCCTGCCTTCAAAAAGTAACCATTAGGCTCTCATTTGAATGACCTGGAAAGACTTCTTGCCTATCAAATGGCCCTTGTGAAAAGGATTTTAACAAGGGAGTTTCCGTAAATCAGGAACATAAGTGATAACATTACACTTAACGAAGGCAGTTAAAGGGGAAGACAAGAAGAAGCTGCCTGAGCCGGTTACAGGGCACCGAAGGGCATCCTGGGAGTCCCAGGGCCAGTTGGCCTGCATGTGACCTCCCACAAGGGAAAAGGCCGAAGGAAAGAGACCCTGCCCATCAGGTCACAGTGTCACTCTTTTTCTAACCCTGTCCTATGTCAGCTCATCTAAAACACCAAATACACACAGAAAGAAGTAGAGTTTAGCTTAGAGTGAGTTCAGTCCATGCAATCATAGAGTAGCTTCTTGATCTGTGGTTCACACACTGCCTACCATGCCCTCCTGTTTAATGATGTAGGTAGCAGAGACACCTTCGGCACATTTTGTGAATGAGGAGAGAGAGACAAAGGAAAATGAGAATATTGTGACCGACTGATGCGCGCATGGTGTCCCCAAGATCACACTAAGTCCAGCTACGGCGATTCACAGCTGTCAGCCATCCAGACGGTCCTCACACTGAGACGGGTTAAACGTGTTTGAGCTTTGTCAAGTCACCTGACCATTTCCTTATCTGTATAAATAGGCACACACCTCTGATTTGTGGTGCCAGGAAGTCCCTCGGATGTTGACTGTTTAGTGGCTGAATTAGTGCAGCTTTAAGGTGACCACATGACAAGTCCACCCAGCCACGGTACGTTGGTGTGATTGACATCTAAAGAAAATGTCTGAATCAGTATCAAAACCAGACACTATTCAGACAGACTACAGAGTCTGCCAGGTGACTTTCACCTCCGCCTAACTAATGCTGAGGAGTCATTCACTCCTTCAGTGAACAAAGTACACATTTACTCTGGAGTCTGGCACCCACGGGTGAGCTGAGAACAGTGGCTCCATCTCATACCGCATTAGTGTCCTGTCTTTACTATCTACTGATCATCATCCATTACTATTCCTTGTCTTTGCTGTTGGGACTCAGAGAAAGTAACTTACCCTCCCTGGTCGTGCAAGGGGTTATATAAATCACAATGAAGCTACTGGCAGCCCCTGCAACACCAGATCGATCCCCGCCAGGGAGTGACCCACCAGGCACAGCAGACCTCTCTAGTCTCCCCCACTGCTCCCCTCAGCGGTGGATTTCAGTAGATCCACCTGTTCTGCTCCCCACTCTGTCTCTCGTCCCCCACACTTCCGGCCTGGACCCCAGTTCTTATATGCATAAATAAATATTTTTTTAAATAAAATAAAATGTAATAGGGGCCACCCTTTCATACTCTTGGGACATCAGTAACAACAAAACACCCTGATCACATGCAGCTTAGATTACAGGTGCAACTGATGTCAAATGAGTAGCGGCAGCTTTTTCTCTAGACTAGTTCTGTCAGCCCTTCAGACTATGAACTGGAAAACCTGAGTGTGGT